ACGTTAGAAAATAAAAGGTGAGTACTATTATATATTTTATAATTTTTGATCATTTTTCTATCACATTATGACATATTACTGTAAAGGAATTAGAATTTTTTTAATGCCACAGTTGCTGAACACAAAATTGGTTTCTATGCTTCTCCAAATGTAAATGTTGGATTATTATGTGTGTGGATTTAGGGAGGGATATTGTAAAAGCAAAACTCAGGTTTAAAACAAAAAAAAAATGAAAACACACACACAATATATCAATTCTTTTATAGAATTTTTTTAGTTATATAATACAAGTTGACTTTTTTGCATTACTTGTTTAAACTTGTTTTTTTTTTAGAGCTGAATTTTGAAGATCGAGGTATTTTTATACAGAAAGACTTTTAAACTTGTCTCATTTAAGTCTTAAAAAAAATGAGGTTAGGCTACCTATTTATGCCCTATTTAAAATTATCTTTATAAATGAGATATTTTAAATTTTTAAATTAAATTTAGACTTTAGAAGATGAGTTTATACTTTAAAATTAGAATTTATATTACTTATTTTAATTTTTGAACATTATGATATGTATTTAGAAAAAGAATATGAAATATTATAATATATAATTTAAATTTTTTAAAAAATAAAAATAAATAAATAAATAAGGACATACTGCCTATGGGCCTGCTTTAAACCTGATCAATTAGGACCAAACACGAGGAATAGATCAATTTTAAAATAACAGAGTTTGTAGACTTGAGCTCATATATACTAAGTCCATAACAGTTGGGCCCATAATCATAATTACCTCGCTTGCTTGTTTACTGATTCTATGTAGATTCAACATTATTGAATTGCCCAATTAAAACGGGCAAGCCTTTGTATAAAAAAAAAAGAAAATAAAAAATCATCACAAAATAATGTAGAAATTAACATCAAGTCCCAAACCTTTTATTTTAAATATATTTTACGTATAATTATTTAAATATTCTTATTCTATTTATTTTTTTAAAAAATAACCTCTCCAACTATCGCTGGATTCGATCGAATCTTGAGGTTCCTTGAAAAACCCAAACTTTGTCCTCTTCTCTTGAATCCAAAGTGCAGTGGAAGGAGATGTTGATGGGGCTTGCTGGCTTGCTTCTTCCAGCTCCATTACGTTTTTGTATGTCATCGATCTGTGTTTGCATTTTGATTGTCTTTTTTGAATGAAAGCCGCGCAACATTTCTCTGCGAAGGTGATGAAGAAGATGAGGATGAAAGCCATGCCGGAGACACCTGAAGCGGCGGGTGCATCTGATGGTACTTGCGTTGCTGTGATGCCATGCAGTTCCATTTAGTGGCCGAGGATCGTCGGACATGGAGCTTGACCACGACTTGCCTCGATCGGCTCCGACTAGTGATGTTGGACTTCAAGTTCATGGAAATGGAAATGGGAACTTGCCGGTCTGAGCGGGAATTGGAATGGGAATGGGTTTGGAAGAGGGCTTCATGTTCATGGTGGCTATGGAGGAATTGAGGAGGAGAGAGCGGAAGAGAGGCATCACAAGCTGTCTGTCACGGGCCATTACTTTTTGCTCAAAAATTAAATATGCAGCGCACCTATTTATATTTTAAAAATTCATCTCAAATCCTTTTGACATGAGATATGATAACTCTTATGTTCAATTTATAATGCCTCCTCCATCATGGGTGACCTATTGTAATGGCTCGCCAATTGGATAAAATCAAATATAGCTTTGTTATCATTTTGTCACAAAGTTATTTACTTTCTCACCAAAAAGTTAACTTGATGAAGTGTGTAGTACACCCACTTATATAATTAAGATTTTTTCAAATTTTTTAGATATAAGATGTGTAGTACACCCACTTATATAATCAAAATTTTTTTAAATTTTTTGGATATAGGACGTAACATCTAATGGTCTCGATAAAATGATAACTATCTGGCAAGGGATTAATTTAAAAAAAAATAGAATAAAGATAATTTAGTAATTATACATAAAATACATTAGGATAATTTGCACATTTGATAGGGAGATGGAATTCCTACATGGAACGGTACAGTGATTTTTCCTTACAAGGGGTGAGCCTTGATTGAAGTTGAGCCTTAAAAAATGGGAACATTTTTTTGGGCCTTCTCGTCAGAAAGGAGCCCCACCATTGTCTACATTTGATATTATTTTTTTCTATAAAACTTTATATATATATTCATCGTGTACATTGCCTTTGACCCTTGATTGAAATTGAGCCTTAAAAAATGGGTACATTTTTTTGGGCCTTCTCGTTTGAAAATGAATGGAGCCTCACCATTGTCTACGTTTGATATTATTTTTTTTTATAAAACTTTATCATATATATATATATACTCTCTCTATTAAAAATTATAAAATATTTTTTAAAAGGTTGAATATTTAAAAATATAATATATTTTAAATTTTTTAAGATATAGTCATTATCTTTTTTTAAAAATACCTCACTTATTTTAAAATAAAACACATTATTAAATAAAGGTAAATAAAAAAAGATTAAATTAATTTAAAAATAAGTAACTATTTTATTATTGAAAAGTAAAATTTGGTTAACAACGTCTTGTATTTTTTAATCCACGGAGTACATGATATTCTTACCTAATTTAAATTTGAATATCATCAATATTTTTTCACGAGACACTAGACTTGAAGCATTACTTAACCCACAGTAAAGTATAGTTTTATTAGAGTAATGAGGACAAAGAGAAGACTCTTTCTGTCTAAATTACTACATACATAAAAATTGAGATTTATTAATTTTAAATAGGAAACAAATCTACCAAAAAATTTGTGTTGGTTACCATTGTTTACATTGTGCAATGTATTACTGTATATATAATATGTGCCACAAAATTAAACCAAAGCATATATGATGTCCAATTTTTTTCTGAACAAAACAATAATATAATTATTAAAACTTAAAAAGTTATTATGATTATTCTGACCGTTAAGAGTTTTTTTAAATATGTCTCTCAATTATAATGATTATTTTGTTGTACAAATTTAACGTTCCTTTGATTTTTTTTATTTAAGCCATTCATGAAATTGATTTGTTGATGCAACACAAACCATAACACATGTGATAATTGATTCACAATTCTTTCTTTACCAGCTTTAATTCATGATTCAAAAATATTCAAGTTAAACAAGAATAAAATTTCCTAAGTCAATATCATGTTAGAAAAATTCAAACCATTAAAATCCAATCTGAACAGTTTAAAATTGGATCTAGGGTGTCTACTGCCCTCTTATATTGTCTCATAATGTCCAAAATCTTAGTTGTTTATTTCATCTAATGATCATAACAAATTCATTTAATTCCCCCAACTAAAGGGCTAAAATTTTGGTCATTAGAGAAGACAATAAGCACTTCAAATCCTTTAAAATTACATAAAAAATGAAATAAAAAATACACATTTTTTATATGGTTATCTGAATAGGTCAAATTCGAGTATTGTTAAGTTCAATTTAAGATAATTCTACTTGAGGGTTTTTTAATTCACAAAAGCTTGAATTTAAAACCTCATGTTTAAACGATCATAACTCATTCCATTAAGACTAATGCTTTATGTAAAACTCTTTATATGACCAAATCTCAACCATCTAAATATTAGTTTTATAAATTAAAAAAAAGAAGAGGAAGAGAAGATGAGATAATCCAAGCGTGTATAATATGGTGTAGAACATTGCAATCAAATTAGTAAATTAGTCTTAGCAAGACAACTTAGGGGAGGATCATAATTGAAATCCGTGAGAGCGCCTCAAATCTTTCGTTACAGCTGTTAAGTTGCTTTTGGGTATATGGTAATTTGGGATGTGAAGTTTCGAAAGATGACTGAAAACTCAAAAATTATGTAGTTGTTAATTTAAAGTCAGTAATTCAAACTAAATTTAATAAGTTAGCGTAAATCTATTTAAAAAAATTTAAGATCAAGTTTAAAAAAAAGATAATTTTTTTTATGTTCGGGCTTAACTTAAATATCCAAATAAATAATATATAAAATATATTAAATATTAATTAATTCTTTAAGTTTTATGTTATTTTAAACTAAAATACCATATATTTGAATTTTATACATCATTTACGTATTCAAAAAATATATATTTATATTTTTTATAAAATAAAATAATTAACTTTAAAATAAAAATTTTAATTAAAAAATTTTAAAAATAAAATTTAAGTTTTAGAGCCGCTTGAAACCCAAAAAATTCAAGTAAGATTTAATTATTCAAACTTTTTAAAAAATTGGATATATTCAGGCTTGGGCCGAGCCCAAATTCCCACCCATATGTCACAACTTCTATTCAAAAAGAGAAAAAACCATGAAGATTACGGTGCTTTTGGAGACGTCCAGGATAATGGAGAGATTTTTAGAAGAATCCAAGATGTTCAAGAAGAATCTAAAATAATCTAGAGAAATTTAAAAGTTTTTAAAATGTTTTAGAAACTTAGAGAGGGATATGGATATGTCTAAAATATTCTAGAATATTCTAGAAATATTTTACACATATCTTAAAAATTAGTTTAGAAATATTCATATAAATATTTAGATATTTGTTGTAGATATTTTCATGAAATACTCTAGAGGATGAATGTAAATCGTAGGATTAGATTGATTTTCACTGTTCATTAAGGAGGTGAGAATTTTTTTTAAAAAAGAAAGAGGTCTATAAATACTCCCACAATCTCTCATTTGTAAATAATAAAAAAAGCAAGCAAAGCTTTTAAGTTTTTTTATCCAAATTCTTTTCTCTCTAATGTTCAAGTTTTTTAATTTTTTTATTTACATTTTGAAGATTCGATTGATTTAATAAAAATTAAGAGGTTGACTACGCTCAAACTGACACAGCTTAAGGATTGGAGAAATTCTAAAGCTGTAGCGTGTAGTACTTGTTCTTGTGAGGGAAGCAAAGTCCCACATCGACAAGTTCGGGACAGTTCGCACGCGAAACTCATCATAAATAAGGAAGCAAGCGAAAACAAAAAGGCACGCAGTCACGCCGTGAGCACAGAGCGAACTATTCTTTCGCCTTTTACTAAAGAATACCGTGTGCTCGCTGCTCTTAGTGGCATACGCCTATTTTTGGGAGGGTCCTGCCTGTTGGTAGGGTCCTACATTTCAGTCTTTATTTTTAAGATGAATGTTTTTTAAAACTTGTCTTTCAATTATAATGATTATTCTGCTGTACAAGTTGAGGTTCCTTTAATCTTTTCGCTTTTTGGGCCAGAGGTCCTTTAATCTTTTCAAACCAATCATGAGATTCATTTGTTGATGTAACACAAAACCGTAGCGAATGTGATAATTAATTGATGATTCTTTTTTTGTCTATATTAATTCATGATTCAAAAATATTGAAGTTAAACAGGACTGTTTTTTAAATTTAGAGTCAGTAATTCAAACACGTCAGGCTTATTTAGATCGAGCTTATTCAAATTATGTTTAAAATATTTTATATTTTTTAAAAAATTTATATATTCAAACTCAACCCTAACACTTTTAAACTTGTAAACACTTTTAAACTTGTAACTTATTCAACCCGGTCTAAATATCAAACACTTTTTAAAAATATTTTTATTTTTTAAATCAATTTTAATTTTTAAATAATTATGTTAAGCATAAAATATTATTTTAACTTTAAAAGAATAAAGAAAAAAAATAACTTATCAACTTTGTATTTAAATAACTCTGTTAGTGTTTTATTATATTATGTGCAATTTATTCATGGATGTTTCCTTTATTTATAAATTAATATCTTAGTTGTTTAAATATTACTTTTATCATGATCATATATAAATATTTTAATTAAATTATATTATTTTAATTATGATCAAGTTGATCTCAATTCAATTACAGTCAGACTATTAATTTAAAATCATTGCCTCGATTACTTCAAAGTTTAAAATAATTTTTGGATAAATTGTACTTTTTATTTTTAGAAATATGAGAAAAATAGCCATAATTATATTATATAAAACATATAAAACAAAATTATTTACTTATGAGTAAAATATTATTTTTTAAAATTATTTTTTTAACTTGTTATATTGTTTAACCCCTACATACACAGAATATTTACTTTAATTTATTTTTAATTTTTAAACAAATCTCATGTGGATGATAACTAAATAATTATTCAAAATTATTATTTTATTTGTTATGTTTATTTAAGAGTAGAGTCACGAATTCATACAAGCTCAATTTTTTTAAATTTATTTTTACTTTAAAATTAATTATCTTATTTTATAAAAAATATAAAATACATTTTTTGAATGATGTATAGGACTCAAAACTTTTTTTAAAAAAATTGGTCTTAAAATATAAAAATTTAATATTAAAATATATTTTAAATATTATTTTAAGATATTTTATGGATTAAAAATAATAAAAATATAAATATTTTAAAAATAACTATAATAGTGCACTCAAATATATAGTATTTTAGTATAAAATAATATAAAACTTAAAGAATTAATTAATACTTATTATATTTTAAAAATTTTATTTTGGTATTCGAGCCAAGTCCAAATCCGATCAGAGTTAGCCTGAATTTAAAAATTAATTTTTTGGGACGACAGGCTAGCCTAAATTATCAGCTCTACCTACATTGATGTCATGTTAGAAAAATTCAAACTACCAAAATTCAGTATGAATAGTTTAAAATTGGATCTAGGGTGTTTGCTGCCCTCTTATGTTGTCTCGTAATGTCCAAAATCTTAGTTTTTTATTTCAGCTAATGATGAGAACAATTTCATTTAATTCTGCCAAATAAAGGTATAATATTTTGGTCATAAGAGAAGACAAGAAACACTTCAAATCCTTTAAAATTGCAGCATAAATGAAATAAAAATATATTTTTTGGTTATAGCTATCTGAATGAGTTAGATTTGAGCATTATTGAGCCTAATGAGATAGCTCTATCAAAAGGATTTTTTGCATTCACATAGGTTCGAACTTGAGATTTCATATTTAAATAAGCATAACCCTTTCACTATGACTAATGCTTGTTGGTAAAAATTTTTTATATGACCAAATCTCAACCATCTAAATATTAATTTTATGATTAAAAAGGAAGAGGAAGAGGAGATGAGATAATCCAAGCCTGTATAATATAGTGTAGAACATAGCAATCAAATTGGTAAATTAGTCTTGGCAAGACAACTTGGAGGAAGATCATAATTTAGATTTAAAAATAATTGAAGACCGTGGCTGTGAGTGCGGTAATTTGGGGCGTGAAGTTTGGATAGAGGACTGAATAGTCAATACTCGGAAATTAGAGTTATCATTATGTTATGAGCGAAGCAAAGTCCCACATCGGCGAGCTCAGGACAGTTCGCACGCTAAACTCACTATAAATAAGGAAGTAAGCAACACTCCAGAAGCACGCAGCCACGCAGTGAGCACAGAGCGAACTATTCTTTCGCCTTTTACTAAAGAATACCGTGTGCTCGCTGCTCATAGTGGCATACGCCTATTTTTGGGAGGGTCCTGCCTGTTGGTGGGGTCCTACATTTCAGTACCAATTTTAATGTTCGGTTTCTTCGGATGTAATTATGAATTGTGGGAAAAAAATAACCAAGCTAAGATTCTCATGAGATAATATATTTTGTTTTATTTATAAATTATTTTTACCAATTTTATAAGTGAAATTTTAAACATAACTTTGAAGTAAAAGATAAATTAATCATACAATATTATTATTTTTTTCTTACTTTTTAAAAATAATTTACAGATTTTAATTTAAAATAAAATAATTTCATCAACAAATAATTTATAAAGTGAATTAAATTATACTTTTAAAGTGATTTTTATATACTAGATTATAGGAGTATTGAGCAAACGAAATTACATGGTAGACAGAAGCAATGCTGTTCAAGAAACTTTCACCAAAAGTTTCAATGAAAGTTTGGCTTCCGTTTGCCAAAAATTGATAAAAAAATCTTAGATAAGATCAGTTTGATAAAAATTATTTATTGTAATTAAAGCGATTTAGTTTGCCTAACTTTTTTGGTCAGCCTTAGTTTGTCTAATTTGGAAACCAAATTTGCCTTCAATTTCCTCGTCTCACAAGTTATTTTGATATTACTCCAAAAGTAGAAAAGCTGAATATAAATTTCGAAAATAAACAGGCTGATTGTGGTGGAATTTTTAACTAAAGTCAGCAACATAATAGAGAACTAAAATCACTGATCAAATATTACATGTGGTGGAGAATCACTGATAAGAATAAAGAATACAAATCAGTGCATATGATACTGTAATCCAAGTTACACAGAACCAAAAATCTCAAAACTATGGCGACTCCAAACGTACATTGCTTCTATTTTTCTTCACAATCAGATTCAGTAAACTTCCTTTTAAAACCAAGAAGGCTATCATTTAATAAACAGACAATATGCCATCGTCTCAAGAGTCTGGCATCCCCAAAAAACTGAGACCCCTTTCCAACTATGAAAAGCGCATAGACTGGGCCCAACTTAATGACTAGGTCAAGAATACCAAAATGAAAAGGAAAATGAACAGAGCCAATAAGGCCAGTATCATCATGATCTGGCCCTTCGCACCAGCCTTCTTCATCACCATTGCCACCTTTTTCTGCAAGAACAATAAAGGACTAGATTTCACCTCTTCGTAGTTCACATAATAATATCAAAATTCATACTTCCAAGTTCCAAGCAAGTTTCTAGTTTTCATGACAAGCACTGCCAAGTCAAGATTTTCTAGCATAACCATTTTTATCCAGGAATAAAAAACTAGATGCAGAAACTCACCTGGACAAAATCTAGACGATTTGATGTACTGTCCATTTCAGCACCCAGGTCATCAATAATCTTTTCCTGAAACACCAAGATTGACATTTTACCATGAGTGCATGAGGAACTTGTTACAGAAACAAAGTTAGCCTAAAACCATATCAGGGTAGGAACCAAGCAACAACATAACTTTTTCATGTGGACCCTTGAAGCAGGAACAATGTTATATTTTTTTAAAGAAAAGTAGCAAAACAATGGCACTAAAACCCTCTCAAAGCCATTACCTGTGCAAGGAGTTCTTCATGTATTGTGAGCCCAACACCTCCAATTCTTTGTACACTGGCACTAAGCTCATCCAACTCCTCATCTTGTTGCCTATAAGAACCAATGGATAGAATAACAAATCAAAAATAAAGTAGCACAAGGTGGCAGATTGTATTTTCCCAGAAAAGATCTGCATGCCACACAGCTTCCATAAACTCTTGAGCACTTATTTTATGTTTCTTCCCAAGTTAAGATCATCTACCAATGTACGTCCGAAGAAATTCTTTAATGTCTTTAACTCTATTTTTCTTTTCATCCATACAGAAGGAAACTTTCCAGTGGCAATTAAAAAACCTTATCCAGAATAAAACAACATTTTGAAATATTGCTGAAATGATTAAAAATAATATTAGAAATTTACAAATACTTCCCCATTTTCAAATATAAGAGAAAATAACTAATTCATATAGTTTAAGTTGGTTAAGTATAATAATTAAGTCTGATATTAAAAAATTTGGACTTTATTATCCACATAATAAATGAAACAGATTTGTCCAATACAAATAAACATGGACTTAATGAGGGGGAATTTAGAAAAAAATGCGATAAATGCTTGAAATTTGTAGTTCTGCTAATAAATAAAAACAAAAAGACACATGATAGTTTCTCTTATATTTGAAAATGGAAGGAGTAATTGAGAGGGTTATATCTACATCAATTTTGTTTTTGAATTGCACATAAGGATAACTCAATGACAATAACCGCACACAAGAAATGAGTGAACATGTGCAGTGTGCATAAGTACATGCAAGTAATATGTAGCTCACTAGCGTCTTGGAAAGAACAGAGGGGATGAATGGTCCTGTGTAGACAATATAATTCATCAATTTAAGAGGAAAAATAAATAAGGAAGATTTTTATATTAGGTGAAGGGGGAAAATAATAATTTGATTATGAATCAAGCTTGGTCTGATCTTTGCTGGAGAAGTATATAAGTCAGATAAAATATGAAGATAGTGAGCAAGGTTAGAGAAAAGATAAATTTATGATTCAATCTATAAGCATATGAGAGCAAGATAGGAATGAAGTACTTTATTAGAAGCAGCTGTCTATCCGATTCAGATGATATGAAATCATCATTATCATGGGCAGTGTACTGGTTAGATGTGTCAACTTGATGGGAATTGGGGAGCCTCATCAGTTCTCGGTGCATTTCTACATTACCACGGCTTGCCAAATTTGATCCCTTTCCAGTGTCAACTGTTTTCTTCACCGTGCCCACCTAATAATTACTATAATTATTCAGCACATCCCCACATATCTAGCAATAAATTAAGCATGCAAGAAAGAAGAGAGAGAGAGAGAGAGAGGAAGTAAATGTCTAAACGACAAAGTTGATTAAGATACTCAATTAATCATGTTAAATAGGACTTGGGGAATTAAAGGGAGAATTATATACAGGTCTCACACAAAAGGATTAATTACTACAAGATCAATTAACAAGTGAATTAAGGCCATCAACAACACAATGTGTTATTATTTTTCTTAGTTCAGTTGTTAATAGACCTTGTAAAATTAATTCTCTTGTGTGAGATTTTAATATAATTCTCCCAAAAATCTTCAATGCAAATCATGCTTCTAGACAGCAGATTGCTAATGCCAAAGGCCAAAGCCCCAACAATTTTTTGTGGTATATCTCTTTTGTTTAGCCCAAAAAAAGGTTGTAAAAAGGTAAAGTTGGGTTAACCAGTAAGACACAGTTTGCCATGCACAGAATTAACTAGATCTTCTTTCCTCTTCCTAAAGTTAGGAATGCACTATATGTACCTGGGTACGAGCAGTGCTGGTCCATCTCCTGCGATTTTCAAGCTCCGTATCATCAATGCCATACCAAGAAGGATCTCTAGCTGCCACAGAAATTGCTTTGTCCAATTCATCTACCTTACTATCAAAATAACGGCCTTCAGCAGTTGTTGGATAGGTTAGATTGTAAAGGAACAAGCAATAAAGGACAAAGAGAATTCGTTACAATTTAATTTTCATTAGAATAATGGGGTAAGAAGTTCTGAGACGTCAGAGGTTCTAAAATCACTGAAAATTCCAAAATGACGAAAAAGAAGCAGACAAGTATATGCATGATAATAATCCAGCCATTGCAAACATTTATTTTATCATCATCAATTGAAATTAAATAATCTAGCCACAGACTCTGCATGTCAATGAATTTACCTGCCACTCAATGCTTTCGCAACTAGTAAGCAGCTCCTTTGAAAGATTCGCTCGCTCTCCAGCACCAGAAGGAGTACTTTGCCATTGGTGAAAAGTAGATTGCAACTTATCAATCTACGAAGAACATGAAACAAGTCAGAAATCTTAATGAACGTATCCTATCCCACCCAAAATCTAACGCCACCAACAACAAATCTATTCAATTCCAGTCAGTCATTTCTGTTCCAACCCTCTCAAATCGTTACAAATGCTGCACAATGATATAGATCGCAATCGGGATCTCTTTAAATCTCCAAATCAATCACAGCATCCCGATGTAACCATACAAACATCAAAAAACTGATTCAACAATTACATCGACGACTATTTATTATTACCCAATGAAGCAATTAGATTTCGGACACAACCATGTCAACTCACTGATCTCAAGAAATTGGGTTTCAACTTTCGACCTAATTTTCGACGAAAATTTGCAACGACTTTCCCCAGATAAACAGAGAAGAGAAGACCGCATAATTGTAGAATTGAGAAAGAAACTTACAGATTCTTGAATCTCTTCCTTCACAACATAGAATGGATCTTGAGCTAAGGGCATCTTCTAGATGACTCACGCCCGTGACTGGCGATTGCGATCGGACTAACGAAGACGAAGAAGAACGAAGATAAAGCAGGATTGGGGCCGTAACTCGTGATCGGAGTGAAGAACGAAGACGAAGAACGAGGTCGAGCGGACGGACTAAACTGAGAAGTGAGGAGGAGAAGGAGGAGGAGGAGAAGGAGGAGGAGGCTGAGCGTCTCTGATCTGAGCCACGGAGGAAGTCGCCGAACAAGTGAGGTGTGAGGAGGGCAGCGTGCGAAACTAAGGACACGTTTGGTTGTACGAAGCTAAGGCACCGTTTGGTACGCTGGAAGCGTTTGGACGAAAATGCAATTGGAAAAGGAGATTTATATGCGCGCGCGCACACACACACACATATATATATATATCTCTCTCTCTCTCTCTATAAAAAGCCAAGGAAAAACTGTGTAAGGAATAATCAGTTCATGTCGAAACAAATACTTCGGCAACCAAAATTGGATCTACAAAAAATATTTTACTTTTTTTTAATACAAAGATATGGAGGAACTGTGTAAGGAAGATTAAAGTTTAATCATGTTTAAAGTTATAAAACTTATACAATTGAGAGGTAAGTTATCAAAAATAAAAATATCAAAATCATCATAGGATGTTTTGTGAGTAAAAAAATCAACGCATTTATTTATTTTTTTATAAATATGATCAAGGTTAACTTCTCAATCTCTCATGACGAGCTATCTAATATCTTTAATAATTATATAAATAGATGTGTGTTGCAGCAGTTATTGTTAATGAGCGGCTTTCAAAAAATTAAAGTAGACATTTTTACTTTAAATTGTCGCAAAACCAATCAGCGCATCTATATCAGAATCAAGCTGTTGACATGTTTGCGGTGCCGGATTTATTTTCAAAAACTATTTTTCTAATTTAAAAAATAAAAAAATTATTTAGATAAGCATTGTAATTTAAAATATTTTCAAAAATATTCTTTTTTTGCTTTTTTTTAAAAAAGAAAAGAACTATTTTCGTTTTTTATTTTTCAACACTCATTACATTTTGCTATTATATAAACTCTTTTTAACTATGATCAACTATTAATAGAGTTATCAATAAAAGTTGACCTAATTCTTTTAGGCCCTGCTCTTATAACTTATTTATTGGGGGGCCAAACTTATAAACTCTCTCACTCTAAAATCAACATTTTTTTAAATCCTGATCTTCATTGATAGGGCCCAAGGTTGAACCCAAAAACCTGCTTAACTTTTATTTGTTTTTTAATTAAATTTTTTTAACTATACTAATACATACATACATACATACATACATACATACATACATACATATATATATATATATATATAAATTACAAAGTACTTCAATTAGATATCTAAAATGTAAATGTTCATTAGTTCCTATTATCATCAATCCTCTTTCAAAAATAAAACATTTGACTCTCATCTATTTGAAGGTGGTGGTGCTATTTCAACAACCTCACTAATACCTCATTTGATACAAGGGAAGGATTTTCATAGAGGTGAAAGTGAGATAAAAAATATATATTTGGTATAATAATGAAAGAGTTAAACAATTTTACTCTTCTAATTTTATTTAAAACTTACTTCTAACATTTTTACCAAAATTAAAGAGAACTTTAAATCTTATTAACTTTATTTAAAAATTTAAAGCAATTAAATAATACAAGATACAGTTAAATAAATACAATCAGATATCGAAACATAGCAGCCAAAATCTTTCAAAATCCAACCCCTCCTAGTTTAAAAGAGGTAGATGATGAAAGGTGTTGAAAGAATCAGTAGAAGTAACTTTCTAATATAATCACTAATATTTTCAAAAGAGAATTTAAACTAGACATTCCAATCTTCCATGAGAATTCTTCTTGCTTGCAAAAGTATCATCGTACAGCCGGCTATTTGTAGTAAAGTTGCGAGCCAAGGAATTGAAACTCTACAAGATTCATGACCACTTCAATCATTTTACATCCTCTTTCCCAGCACCATTCCAAGCCTTGGATTAATCCTTGAATCATTACAGCACCCCCCCCCCCCCCAATGTATAGTTTGGCACTGTTTTATGAAAGCCTTTATTATTTTCTTGTTGGTTATGGACATTACAATCTCTCCTCTTTCTACTCTGTTTAGCCACTCAATCTAGTAATTTTTTACCTTGGACAGCTTTGTATTAGCTAGTAAATTCAACAACTTTCTCAATTTATCTTTATTAAATATATATACTTTAAAAATAAAATACTATAACATTTAATAAACATAAAAAGGTAAAGATAGACACAATAATATTGAAGTTTCATATAAATAAGACTAAAACAAATCTTCCATTTAAGTGAAAATGATGAAATTGAATTCTTATGGGAATATGATGGAAGTGAATTTCATGATTTTTGATGAAATTGAATTTCTTGGAGAATTGGATTCTTGTGCACCTATAAGCAAATTTCAAAGTTCAACTTTTTCAATTCTAATTCAGTAACTCCAACATATCAAATGAGGCATAACTTTATATTCATCACTTAAAATAAATATTTAACAAATTATATTTTTATCATATATTAATTCAAAATTTTAAGTAAATTATATAAATAAAATTAAAAAAAATATAAGGGAATTAGACCGAGTCTATTTTTGTAGAAATTATAAAGGCCGCCAAGCCTTAAAAGTCTTTTTATCCTAATTTTTTTTTTTTCAAGCCCAATCTTCATAAAATACAGGGCTTAAAAGGATAGCCTTATTAACAACTTGAGACACATGTTATCACATTAACTACTAACAATTACTATTGATTATTTTTTAACTCTAAAATTATTTTCAAATTAATATAATCAAACAAGTTTTGTTTTGTTTTATTTTAAAAAAATTAAAAATTAATTTATAAAATAATTTAAAAAAAAAAACGAGAATAAAATCAAACTAGCCTCGCCCTAAGCTTCCGTTTTTTAACGAGGCATAAAGTATTTAATAGCCAAGGTGTTTCTTTTCCTCCTATTTTAGATAACACTGTGCGATATTATTTTTTAACATTTAGAACATAAACATCAAAGAAATACCGACTTTCCACCCTCTTTCTTTACATCAACAAAGTGGAGAAAGATTAAGATAGGAAAACAATAATTTAATAAATTTCAAATATAATATTAAAAATAAAACTGATAATTTGAGTTAAGTCTGACAAGTTATCCTAAATAAATTAAAAAAATTTTAGGGTTGAACTTAGCAAAATATTAGTGATTTTTTTCTTTTTTAAAAACAAACAAAGCATATTAAATATTAATCAATACTTGAAAATATCTCAAAAATAATATTTAGAACGTTTTAGTTGAGTTTATAATGAGAGTATATTATTATAGATATATTTTTAAAAAAACTTAAAAATATTCACTTAGTCATATTTTTATTATTTTTAATATATAAAATATCTCAAAAATAATATTTAGAACGTATTTTGGTCTTGACTTTTAAACCCACAAAGTAAATTTTACATTTTTTTGATAAAATAAAAATAATTAATTTTAAAATTAAAACTAAAGTTTGCTTAAAAGCAATAAAAAATTGACAATTCAAATATTTGAGCTAACCCAAATAGGCCTTAAGTCTAGTGATATAGGGATTGGACTTGATTATTTGAGATTTTCCTATTTAGGACTTAGGAGGGGTTTTTATGCCATTTTCCCGATTTACCCTCTGTCCTCTCTTCTTTTTAAATAATAAAATAATAATGATATGATGCCTTTCAAGAAAAAATCACCACTCTATACTAAATTACCAAGGGTTGAAGGAAAAAAAATACCTAACAATTTTTTCTCTAAGAGTATCCAGTATTTTTAGGTGAACAAAGGTATAAGAATATTTATGAACTTATTATAATAAATGTAATAATTCCTATTCCATTAAATTTAACTAACTCGTCTGTTAACATTGATCATTAAAAAAAAGAAACAAATATAGGGTGCAAAAATACCTAAAAACTTTTTTCTAAAAGTTTTTAGTATTCTTAAGTTAGTAATAGTGTATAGATACCCATTAATTTGTGTTTTCAGGTGGGCCATGTACTTAAACGTTGATCATTAATTTTTTATTTTATTTTATCTTATTTAGTCAATTTCAATTTTTATCTTAAAAAACTAAGATTATGATATTCAATTTTTTTTATAATTTTAGTTTTATTTTATTAATAATAAAAAATAATTTGGGTATTTTGATTAAACCCATTCAAGTTTAGACTTAGCCCAAATGTCTTCAAGTTTATGCAAAAGGCCCAAATAAACTGAAAATAAAGATTTAATAAAAAAAAACTCTCAAGCTCAATTCTAATATTTTTTGAACTTATTCAGAATGACCTGTTAAACTTGACCCTAACTATCGACTCTAACTTTTTCTAATTCATTAAAATTACTTAACATGATCATAAAATTCTAACATAAAACTTAACAGATTGGGAAACTAACATTTTATAAAACTAATGGGTATTTATGCTCCATTATTGACTTTAGAATATTAGAAGTTCTTTTAAAAAAATTTATAAGTACTTTTACATCTTATGTTTACTTTTTTTTTTAGTAACAATGTTAATGAATGTTAGTCAAATGTAATGAAATAAAACTTGCTGTACTCGTTAAAATAAGCTCATCAATACCTGAACATTTATTTACTCAACGATATTGGGTAGTAATTGAAACAAAAATTCTAAGTATGTTTGGCTTGGAACCCAATTCCTAATAACCCAAGGGCAAAATCTTCAATCTATTTATACAGCTTGCCTTCTTTGCTTCTGCTCTCATCTTTGCCTCCATGGCCTTGACTCAGCAAAGTGTCACTATTTTTATCTTCTTTTTTTTTTTGGTAAAAAGACAAATATATTAACAAAAAAAAATGAAGTCTACAAAGTAAGTGTTAAAATGGGTCTATTAAAATAACTAGAGAGAGCAAAAAAAGGCAAAACATTGGACCACATTTCTAAACAATATAAGCGCTAAAGTCTTGCAGAAGCTTGGAGATGTTTTGGTTCATGATATGTTATTGATTAGAGCAGAAGTGAACCCCTTCGTTATGTCTGATTTTTAAATTTCCTAAACTCACATGATCTTCAAAAAGTTTCAAATAGAAATTTTTAGTCCAAATCAAGAGGTTACGGGCACAAAAAGGTAAGAATAGTTGTAGGGAGATAACTTTAGGTGTGCAAAATAACAATTCGAACCACCTCTCATGATTTAGAGATGAAGAGACAGGATGAAGACGTTTCTTCCTTCTTTTGAAGATGGTAAACTAAATTTTCCACTTTGGAAAATGAAATTGAGTGAGGTTGTCAAAAAAAAAAAAACATGGGAGCTCATTCTTCTTTGGCCCTATAATCTGTAACTATCTTTGCACTACAATCATTATTCCATCTGCATGCAACTTTGAGAAAGAAACATCGTTCATGAAAGTACTGAATAACCTGTGCAACTGGAGTTATCCCATTACATCAAGATAATGAAATGACGAAGGCAAATGCTTCCCAGAGTTTGAATCTCCCAATTTTTAAATCACTATTTTTGTCTGTTCTTTGATTTTCATGGCAGATCTAGATTTCTTCTTCTTGTTTCCCCCCTAATCTCTCTCATCTTCACGATCTTCATCTTTTCTTCTGCCTCTTCCATTGCTTTCCATTTCTTTTTTCAAATCTAATAATCTTGAATTGGTCAACTCATAAAATTGCCTGGTTTTTCCAGCTCATCCTAGTTTGTATATCAGTTTCAGTTGGCCAATTTTTAACTGAATCACTCAACCTCTGATTGACCAGAACCAGTTCCGCTCCCTCAGCATCCCAAGTAGCGCCTTCCAAACCATTCAATTCACATCTGATATCTCATACCTTGCCCCATTATCTTACGTTGAAATAATTTAACTTTAAAAAATAATTCCCACACTTTATTTCACCATTATATTTTCTTTATAATAACGACTCAAGCTATTTTTTTTTCATCTTTTATCATCAAAACTTGTTTTAAAAAGTTAAATAGATCAGACTAAAATTTGAATGAGTCAAACTATAAATCCCTGCTAGACTACAGGTCACTCGCATGCTAAGAGTTTTGCATCTCGCAAAAGAACTTCTACGATTACAAACATGGGAGAAATCTACATCAAAATGGGAAAATTTTACATTCCATGAGGAAACGTTGCATATTTACATATTACAGTAGATGGTCACAAAAGGAAGACACTTGCACATGATGGTCTATTGGTCTAATCTGCAAACACATTACAGTGAAGATACTGGGCACCTTGACATACCTTTAAGCAAGGGCACTTTCATCATTTACTTTCTCGTATTCCTTCAGGGTAAATTTACCAAATATGAATTCGTGGGCAATTTTAACTGAAAAAACATTACTCGTACTTCGTTTTGACAAGCCCAAATTTATACCGGGTGCCTTGTATACGATATTACCACTTAGTTCGTATGTAAATTTAACACCAAAATAATTTGGGCCAAGCCATACCTCGTTCCTTGCACCTATTTCACAGTATGGTTCTCAATTCCCGAAATTCTCGAACACAAAATTAATTAAAATTTGCAGTCTACTAACGTGTCCTGAGATAATGGTATTTTCAAGATTTTGAAAATCAAACCAATCATTAGACCGGACAAAACATTAATTCAAAAGTTAATGATTCGACCGGTCAAACTATTGTTGAGCCAAATAAGATTATTTTAACATTTTTAAATAATACATGTACATATAAACAAGTTCATCCAAAATAAAAAATAATTCTTTACCACGAGGGATTAGCCTTAAAAAGGCAATTTCATATAGAATAAAATGCCAATTTCCTTACCTTAAATCTTCTTCATAGTTTATCAATCTTTACTATTGAGATTATCATTCATTATTAAAAAATAAGATAAAACCAATTTTTAAAATTATTTTTCTTTTTGTTCGCTAATAAGGAGTCAAGGACATGCGCCATGTACATCAAATAATCCAGTTAAAAGAATGACGGGAAAAATTGTGGGGAAGATGATTGTTGTGAAATCCAACGATAGATGAAACCCAACTGCCCATCTTCTCTAAATCCATATAGCAGAGAACACTTTCGGAAGAGTGCATTGAATTGAAGCACAATACCGATACACACAATCTCTGCATCTCAATCTCAATTCAAGACATCAAAAATCCTAAAATTAGAAACTATTAACCATGAAACCATAATTAAAAGCGATCTGCAAAATAAAGCAATCCTTCAAGGACTTTAAGGGACAATAGATGAGATTCTTGAATATACAGGAAGATGAGTGGAGGAGGCAGTTCATGGCAAAACTCTTGCCATGATGATTTCAAATTCAAGATTCAATGACATCCGAATGAAATGACACACGGCTATTTCTGGTAAAAAAAAAATTGTTAACATTCAACTTAACATCAATTAAAGACAAACAATGAATTGTAATATTTTGTCATGTTGAAAGAAAAGATTACAACAAAATGAAGTATAGAACATTAGCTACTCCTGATAGCATAGTTTAAGAACAAAAATAATCTATAACAATTGAAGAACAAGTAGTTTACACTAACAAAAATTGGTTTAATTAGTTGACATTGACTCCAAAACTAAAGTGATTGGTTCAAATTCTGTATGTAAAAACCCTGCGGTTGGGCAATTTGCGAGTGTTGGTTTAATTAGTTGAGATGGAACCCATAACTCAAAGTGATAGGTTCAAATTCTGTACGTATAAACCTTTTCTTTGGGCAATTTGCAAATACTTCTATAAATACTTAAGTTTAGAGACATCACATAACCATGATAAACACCCAAACCCAACTCAACTAAACTTTTGCCTAATAAAAAAAATCAAGGAGTTCCAACCGATTTATTTCTATCGCATCCGCCAAGAGCATAATACAAAATGGGGGCATAACATAGAAACCCACACAGCCCAAGAGCTTCAGACTCAACATCTCAGAATGAAGGTCGACCTCTCACTGTAAATCTCATTACAATCTCAAGGCCGAAAATTTTCATTCTTCTCAAGTACAAATAAACTCAATTCAGGGGAAATTGAATCCCCTAAACTGTGAAATACATCATCAGCATGGAATTTTTTTTCTCATCCACGGCAATACTGCCGTGTTGGAAGGTGTCCTAAGATTTTTCCAATTTCATCACCTGATGCATAATACAATACATACTTTCACAGTGAAAAAGTATATCCTCGCAGGTAAGACAACCAGAGACGAAAGTTAAAAAATTACAAGCATCTTAACTTAACGAGCAATAGTAGGTAGATTCAGGAGCATACAGTAATCGTTTAACTTCACTTAAAAGTATCAGATCAAGTGTTGGATTATTGATTTTGCTTCATCCCCATCTACCGCACACATAATATCGATATTCTCCTCAAGTTATCAGCAAAATCTAAAACACAGAAACATCCAAGTAAATCTGTATCATGGAATCGCAAACAAGGGATCAATCAATAATTACAAAACATAAACCAGTAAAAACAGAAAAAGGGCCTTTTGGCAAAACATATTGTTCCCCGACGTCCTAATACAGCATTAAGATTACAGCACTGGATAGCGAGGGGAACTATATCTAGGCTTCAATTAGGCATTGCATAACACATTTAAAAAACTGTGTAAGCAAAATCAAATTGGGATGTGAAGCCTTATATTAATAAGGAATGGTAAGGTATCTCGTATTATCAGGAATCCCTGGTAAGAAAAGAAAAAAATTAAAATAAGAATGCTGGGAGTGAAATCATATAACTCAGTCCCTTAGATGTTCAATAACGATTGCGATCATAACCGCAAGTCATTACAGGTCTGTAGACTCATCAAAGTTAAATGTAACACACTCCCAGTTAAATCGTTCAAACAACAAGCTCAGAGAGCCAAACAAGAGTGATTTATTTGAAAGAAATATTGCTGCTTCCGTGTTCTCCCAAAACAACATAAGAAAGGTGGTTGAAGGAGAGATTAGACGAAAGCAACACAATTTGCTTTCGCTTCAAGGGAACGAGTCAATTGGGAATTGAAAAAATCCACAATGACCAGATAATGAAGCACAAGTAAGGATTCAATACAACGTTACCGAGAAGATCTGCAAGTATTCCATCGAATTCAGATCAGCGAGGAAGGGAAGGGCAACGAAACCCTAATTTGAGCTGCGAAAGAGCGGCTAGCGATACACGAATGTTGCGAGGCGCCTTAACTTATAATAAGCGGAAGAATGATCGGACGGCTAAGAAGTGATTTGTATATGACTGAGCGGTTCATATTATTCATTCATTCTTAAGCACTGAGAGGCCATCCTAGGTTTAAGGAAGACTCAAGCTTTTGAGGCCCAAAAGAAAAATCAAAACTCAAGCCCAATTGAATGAAGTTTTTTATGTTTTAGTAAAGTCAATAAGCTGAACAAAACCTGACAAAACCAGCCCAAATTCATTTAAAAAAATTTAAGGTTAGGTTTTAAAAAATAAATGTTTTTTATATTCATGTCTATTTAAATTAGTCTCAATAAGTTTGAAAAAATTTGGACTAGACCTGAACCCAAATAAAAAATTATATTTTAAAAAATATATAAAATATAATAAATATTAATTAATTATTTGAATTTTATATTATTTTATATTAAAATACTATATATTTGAGTACATTACTATTTTTATTTTAAAAAAAAATTAAAAATATTTACATCTTCATATTTTCATCATTTTAATCAATAAAATATTTTAAAATAATATTTAAAATATATTTTAATATTAATTTTTATATTTTAACATATACATATTTTTTAAAAAATTTTGAGTCTCATACATTATTTAAATATTCAAAAAAACTTATTTTATATTTTTTATAAAATAAAATAATTAATTTTAAATTAAAAAATTAAATTAAAATAATTTTAAAAATAAAATTTAGGTGTATATGAATTTTTGGGTCTACTACTAGATAAACATAATGAATAAAATAATATCTTTGGATAATTATTTAATTATTATCCACTTCAAACTTAGTTAAAAATTAAGAATAAATTAAAGTGAATAAAAGTCAAAGAAAAAAGTAATTCCAAAAAAAATTCTATTTTTCATATATTTCTAAAAATAAAAAATACAGTTTATCCAAAAATTATTAAAAGTTTTGAACCAATCATCACAATTATTTTAAGTTAATGGTCTAACTATGATTGAATTGAGATTAAGTTGATCATAATTAAAATAATTTAATTTAATTAAAATATATAAAATATTTATATATAACTATGATAAAAGTAATATTTAAACAATTAAAAGATTGATATACAAGTAAAGGAAATATCCATGAATACATTATATATAATACAACAAAGTAGTAATAGAATTATTTAAGTACAAAGTTGATAAGTTATTACTTTTTTATTCATTTAAATTTAAAATAATGTTTTATGCTTTTAAAATTAAAATCAATTTTTATGTTTAACAAAGTTACTTAAAAGTTGAAATTAATTCATAAAAAGAGAAAAATTTTTTAAAAAGTTTTAATTATTCAAGCAAGCCTGAATAAGTTTAAAGCTCGAAAATATAAAAGTTGGGCTCGGTTATATGAGTTTTTTTATTAAGTAAGATACTTTAAATTTAACTCATGTGAATTACTAGCTCTAATTTTTGGTAATGCAACTAATGATATCATATATTACAACAAATCTTTATTTTGATTCATGCCTGAAGCTCAAATTAATGTGGTTCTTTTAGAATAATTTGTTGCATCTATAAATATTACTATTTGTAAATCCAAACTGAATTAGCTAGGTTAACTTATGAATAAGTGATTTGGCTAGTCCGCTCATCTAACTTTAAAGCTCGGTTTTAACTCTGAAAAACTCGATCAACATGATGGATTGGTTAATTCTATTATTTTATTTGTTAGCCTTTTTTAAATTGTGAACTTTACATCAAATTTAAATCCTTTAAATAGTATTTCTAATGTTAAGGGTTGACACTTCTTCCCATCTATATCATTAATTGAGCTCAAGGCTGAACTCAGAAGCTCATTTTTATTTATTTTTATTTTTTAAAAAATTATTTTTACATTATAATATTAAATATTCATTCTTTCAAATGCAAATTATAATGTCCAAAAATTAAAATAATTAATTTAGATCCTACTTTTAAAGTACAAGCAGATATAATTTAAATTATAAATTTAATCAAAAAATTTAAAATATCTCATTTGTTCGGGATAGACATAAATAGGGGCATCAGGATGTAGCTAAAGGCCATTCTTTTATAGTTTAAATGAGTTGGTCTTGAAAACTCTTTTATATAAAAATATTTCAATTTTCAAAACATAAATTCTAAAAAAAAAAAACAGAGCTCTAACTCAATAATTCAATACTATTTTAATGCCTCTTTAACTAAAGCACTAGTGAGTTGGGCTTGTATGAGCCTAATCTTTTTAGACTTAACTCATATGAGCTTAAGCTTATAAGCTTAATTATTGAAAAATAAATTATTTTTTAAAGCTTAGCTTTTATTCAAAGGGCATAGGGCTATACTTGTAAGCTCATTTTTATTACTTTTTTGGATTTTAAAAATTAAAACTAGTTTATATTTATTTTTTAAAACACAAATTATGATGTTTAAAAAATAAAAAATTAGTGTCCTAAAATTTAAATTTAATTTAAAAATTAAAAAATTTTTATTTTTAGGGTAAAATAAAAAAGTGCCACTAGAACCTGAGTCTCTTTTTAAAGCCTATTAGGGCTAGGCTTCAAAATATGATTTTCTCCCTCCACTCTTAAAATGTCTTTTTAAAGTTTGAACCTTTATAAAAATGAGTTTAAATGAATGGCCAACCAATCTAAGCCTATATTATCGACTCTATCTTCAATCTTCTCCCTCCATTCCTATGACTTTTCTTTTACCTGTATGGAAAGCCATGTCAAAACTCTTCACTCCTCTTATATCTTTATAAAATATATTATTTATTTTATAAAAAAAAACCATGTCATAAGTCATAACTTCTTTGTAGTCCCTCCTAATTTTTGCACGAGAACCTAATATTCTAGGCTCGCCTCACCTGAGTTGTGAAGATTTAATGAGACCCAGATTAATTCAAATAAAAACATGAAAGGCATTCTAAGGATGTGCATCCTTGACTACTTATGCTACTACATTTTTAAGATTCAAATTCAAAACTTTTAATTAAAAGAGAACAACATTTGCCAATTAATCCAACTACTTTGAACGTTGCCACTTTGCTCCCCCTGTTCCTCCTTATTTTCTTCTTGGACTATGGATAAATTGATAAACTAAGGAGCAGAAGGTGACGGCAGGATGAGCCGACATCTTCGAAGTAAGGCAATATTTATTTATTTTTAATGCTAGTTTTTCCCAACAAATTTAAGTAACTTTAACTCACATCTCTTGATAAGGACCGACCTAAGGGCAACAAGAGGTGCTTTTCCCCCACACTTCAATCATCCCTTAAAAAAAAATTAAATTTTTACTCAAAAAAATTATAAAATAAATTCCAACCCCAATTTATATTTTATTTTCAACTTGACCCCCTTTAGGTAGTTCCTAGATTAATCCTTGTTTCTCCTCTGACTTAGTTAAAAAACTATGAATTCGCTAGAAGCGAGTTTCAATGTGTTTGCACAAAAAACAAATTTATAAGTAAGTTGACTTAACTTTTCTAGCTGAAACTATAAACTTCACAAACTTGATGAGTTAACTTATGAGTTTGATAATAATATTTTCACCTAATATGACCATAATTGAGTTGATTGTGTGTAATTTTTTAAAGTAGACGTGATCAAATTAATTATATTTGAAACCTTAATTTTGATCAAATCTTGTTGTTAATAAAAGAACTTTATTGGTGAGTGATTTATAAATATTTCTATAAACATTCATTGGGCCTAGAGATATTTTCTGGCCTTAATAATCTCCTAAATCCAACTAGAGGTGAACAAAACTGAATCGAAATTGAAAATCAAATTAAATTGAATCGAATTTTATCTTTTTAATTCGATCTATTCGATTTTTCAGTTTGATTTGATTTTCTTTTAATAAAAATTTTGATGGATCGATTCGATTTGGTCCGAGAATTCAAAAATTAAATAAACCGAATCGACTGAATTATCTATATTTTTCCTTTCATATTTTAAAAAATGTGAATAAATTCTCATCTAGGTGAGTAAGAAATATTTTTTTACTACTTGCAATGATAGTATTTTTTTGATTTAATGTGATGTTCTAATTTTTTATTTCTATAATTTAGTTTTTAGTGCAATAGTACTGAATCTTATTAATTTTCTTATAAATTATGATATAAGATTATTATTGTTTTGTTAGGCCTTCAACATCAAGGGAAAAAAATTGGATAAAAGAATATGTAAACAATTAAATTTCATAGATCCAAATTAAAGCCCATAAATCGAATAAACCGATCAAATCGAATCATTAAAATTCGATTCGATTTTAATTCAGTTCAGTTATATATTTTGATTCTATACAATCTAAATTTTTTATATAATTCGGTCGATTAATTTTAGAGAAATTAAAATCAAACCGATCGAATTGACCGAATGCTTACCCCTAGACCCAACTCCTAATTTTTTTAAGAAAAACTTTAATTTAGAATATTTAAACTTTTTTACACTTTCAAATTATATTATTCTTTTTATAAGGAAAATAGAAAAAATTGTAGTTACTTTTAAATTAATTAATTTAAAATAAAATTTGAACTATTCAAATTGAATCAACTACGTACACACGGTAAGATTTGTTATCGTATTTTGGGTTGCTAAACCGGACGATGGAAAATAACCGTGTATTTTTATATGTTGAGATAAAGCCCATGTTGTCCAAAGACAAAAACCCATATCATTGAGCCCAATTGTTTTAAAAAGTCAATAGAGCCCAAGTCCAATAAGAAAAAGAGAAACGTTTTTGCTGACCCAAAAGGTGCTTTCACATTCATCTATGATTATAATATATGGCAGAAAATTATAATTATAATGAAAAATTAATTATTTGTTTCATGTAGTTTTGAATTATTTATAATTCAGTTCTTAAAATCTAATTAGTTGTAAATTAATTCTTAAAGTTTTGATTCAATTATAACTCAATTATTGAATTTTTGGTTGCTGCAATTCAATTTCTATATGTGATTTTAGCCTTTTAAAATATTGATCCTTTTATTTTGAAAATAAAATTCTAAAAATTAAAATTATGTTGA